CACTGGCACAGAATGGCACAGTCACACCAGGAGTTTGGTTGGTACTTTATATATTCCACACCTTGACTGGCACCGCATGAAACAGTCACACCAGGAGTTTGGTGGGTACTTTATAAATTCCACACCTTGGGTGACACAGCATGACAGAGTCACTCCAGGAGTTTGGTAGGTCCTTCACATATTCCACACCTTCACTGGCACAGAATGACACAGTCATACAAGGAGTTTGGTGGGTACTTTATAATTCCACACCTTGAAGTTATTTTTTGTTTTCCTTGCACAGAATGACAGAACCATATGCAGAGCTACTTTATGCCATGAAGTCAAAATATTTCTCTTTCAACAAATGAGTACTCTTAATAAGTGCTTTATAATAATCCTGAAGATTTAAAATTAAAGAAATAATAAAGATCTCAGTAATTGCAAACACAACAATAAAGAAATGGTAACTGCCTAGTAACATTACTCGTGTTTGCTCTCGACCACACAATCTCTGAGAACAAAAGTAACTTATGTGGAGTATACAAGTGCTCCGACAATTTTCCATTTACAGACATACGTCAGATTCAGCAATCTTATAAACTACACTGTGTGATATCTCTTCAGGTACACACAGAGAGCTGGGACAGTGTACGCCATTGTCCTCAACTGGCCACAACCAGGTCAACTCATCCTTGGATCAGCTTTGCCAAAAACTGGAATGAAAGTCAGTCTCCTTGGCTACACTGAAGGCTCTTTCTCCTGGCAGAATGCTTCACCCAAAGGAATCAGCATCACAATCCCTCCCATCCCTGTCAACCAGATGCCATGTCAGTGGGCATGGGTCTTCGCAATGGCATAAATGGTTCACAACAGGATGGGTCTTTAAAGGTTAATATAGAAGAAAACAAGATTAATATGGATAGGATCCAAGAGACGATCTCGTATCAAACTATGTAAGGAGTGGAACTTTTTCAGAACAATTTCAAACTGTTAGGAATAAACTTCGATATTGATATGGATAACATAAGCCAATTAAATTACGAAGAAAGTGCCTACAAATAAAACACTTAGCAAGAAATCTTACACCTTATGGAAGAATCACAGTTTTAAAATCCTCCCTCCTGCCCAAGTTAAACCACCTGGTTTCTACACTTCCTCGCCCACCGGAATCTGTTATAGACAATTTCCAAAAACGATGTTTTAGATTTATATCACAAAACAAGCCAGATAAAGTTAAAAGAGATACTGTTGTGCTAAATCTGGAACATGGGGGGGCTTAAAGTTCCAATGATTAAAAATGTTATATCTTCACAAAAACTGAAATGGGTAGAGAGATTACAAAGCACCTCATCAAATTGGAAATCATTATTAATGCATAGATTTCACAGTCACAACTTATTGTGGATATCAGATAAAACATATAATGAAAATAGAGTGAAGTCTTTAAAGATTGGTCTAATATTGTTAGAAGATACAAAGGACATGTAAAAACTGAGTGTGACCTACCGGTACTCTCTCAAAGTATTTGGAATAATGATAACATAAAAGTTGGAAATGAGACTATTTCTTACAGAAGCTGGGAAAAACAAGTATAATATTCGTAAACGATTTATTGAATGAAAACGGCAGATTATATTCTAAGGAAGAATTATGTGCCTTATACACCCTAGACACAGACTTTCTTAAATATGAGGGTGTTAAACAAGCCGTTTTATGTTATGCAAATTCAATAGGTATTACTTTATCCAGACGTAAATTAAGTAATCAAGTGTATCCGTTTATAATGAAATGTACAAACAATCACCTGGACACCAAAGTATGATATGTTAGTTGATTCATGCTTTCTTAAATGATAAGTGGGAACACGTCACTGGTTCGCACTACTCAACTTTGGCTGGAAACGTTTCAACTCGATCACAAATAAATGTACTCCAAGTACCGAATTAAGATGGCTGCAGTACAGAACCATTCACAGAATATTGCCAGTCAGACATTTCCTCTACAAAATCAACTATGTGGATAGCCCTAAATGTACCTCTTGTAGCGATAACGACGAAACAATTCTGGGAGTGTGAAAAGGTGGAAAGCATATGGCGTGAAATGAAAATATGGCTCAGAACTGTAGATGTAGAATTGAGTTTTACAAATTCCCAGGTAATATTTGGGATTAAAGGAAAGCATAACTATGCACTAAATGCAATAATATTTTAGTCAAGAATGTCATATACAACGGTTTCATTCCAAATACTTCATACATCAAGAGACAAATCATACAATATTATAATACCACAAAAAATGTACACATGTCAACCTGTATGTATACCTGAAAAAAAGCGAAATCAGAAAAAAAGGATGGAGTCTTTGCAAGGAAATAAACATATGGTTTATAATGGGATGTGTGTTCATTATGACACAAATCATGGACAATTAAAGAGATGGGCCTTAAAAATGACATAAATTGATGACAATTATAAAAGAAGACCTTTCCATAACATATTTGTCAAAGAGATGGTCCCAACAAATGCATTTGCTACTTAACTTACATTTTTGTATTACAAAAGGAACTTGTTTTCATTATAAAAAGAATGCTTCCTTGAATGCATATATAAAGATTATGACCAAAATTTCTATCCTTTTTTCTCAACTTCTACACATATTAAATCCTAAGAAACCTGACATGACAAAAAATGTAAGAACAAAGGTTATCTCCCTTGAATTGACATTGTCTCCCTTGTCTTCGCCATGACATAAATAGTTAACATTAACACAGGTTATAAACATATCATTGATAATGGGATGGACCTACACAATGACACAAATGGTTGACAAATAACAAGATTGGACTTCACAATGATATACATGGTTGACAACTGAATAGTGGATATTTTCAATAACATAATTTATTTACAATGAAATGTCTGACAATGGGATGGTCCAAATAGACATGTTTGCTATTTTACTTTAATTCTTGTGCTACAAATGAAAGTGGTTCTCATAATAAAATGAATGCTGCTTTGACTGCATATATGAACATTATAACCAATATTTTCTTGCTTGTTTATTTGTCCACTTTAATGCATCTCTTAAATCTTAAGAAACCTGACATGACAACACAGGGTGTTGTAAGAGTAAGGCTTATCTCCCTTTAAAGGGCATGGTTATAACTCAATGATTTATGCAAAATATGCATGATGAAAGTTTTGAATATTTACTATATTGTGACACACATGTGAGAGAGAAAGAACATGAACTACAAACATTCTGATCCAGAGTCAGATATCTTGTGGAGAGAGGTTAGCAATGTGTGTAATGCCAACACAAACTACTCGATCAGCAACGTGTGGGCTAACAACATGTTCTGCTACACATCTCACCAACAAACACCTTGCAGACATACTCAAAGAGGTCACTCCATCAGCAAGGTGTGGGCAACTGCAGCTTCTTTCTTCTACATGCCTTGAATACCCCACTGTTACATCATTGTCTGAATTCAAGGGTTGGATCTAACATATAGTAATCCAGGAGTGATGACAGTAATGTGCAAAATGAAACATAGAGGCAGATGGAAAATCCATATCTGCATGGAAAGTACCATTATATTGGCATTTCTATGATGTCATTTCAAGGTTGTATTAACGTAACTTCTGGTTGTGATGATGTCCCTTCTGTTTCTCTTGGTTTCTTTCTCAACCCCTTTTTGCCAGAAACATAGACTGGTTATTTAGTGGGTAACTGTAGCCTGTGGGGCTACCAAAGGCCCCATGGGAAATAGCCCATCCAAATCTGGGTATATATCATACAGGTCAAACTTCATGCACATTTTGTGGGACCTCCACTGGGAGATGGCAATGACTTATTCAAACAACAGTGAATTCCATGATGCTAAGATGTTTTGATAACACCTGTATCTTGAGAGCTGCTCCATATGGGTGAAGGTAGTCCTGCAAGATGGGAGCTTTTCTTGCTGGTGGTTTCCAGCCAGCCCAAATGGTTAACTTCATTATAATATATCTACACATCTTATATGGTGCTGACATCCTCTAGACTGTAAGGATGTTGTAATTGTTTTGTTACCATGTAATATAACAATATTGTTTTACGTCTACAGTCAAAGTTCACTGGGGGTTTTGTGGCCAGTGTGAAGGTGTTCTCTGTCAACTTAATGCTTCAAGACATCTGCACATATCAACTTCTGTTCTTTGCACTAACAGAGACCCAACAATGCCTTCAAAGTATCTTGCAGATCCAAATCATAACCATGATGGCAATACAAAATGATTGTCACTGTCCCATAACCTCTTCAGCTAATGGGATGCATAGGGGAACCATCAATGAGATCAGGAAATCCAGACATGTCATAGGGAAGCAACTCTACAAATATATTTCACTTCTTTTACAAGGGTCTTCCTCTCATGTAGAACTTAAGAGCATGTTCTAATAGCAACAGGTTTTTTACACAATGCCATCGATGCATATTTGTTTTGATAAGATATAAAATCCAATGTTATATAGACTTTGCAGTTAAGTTCTTTTGATCAGTTATGAGTTATGATTGGTTACATTTGCTTCCTAAATATTGCAACTATTGCCATGGCCTACAACAATTATGGCTGGACTAAAACTGACAATATGAACGAATAAATGTGACAGGATGTTTTCTACCAGTGACCTTCTCTTGACATGTCAGTTGAAGCAATTTAGGCTCTGCAGATTTCATGCTTTCTTGAGAAGATATTTTAATTATGAAAATTTAATTTCCCTTATACCTTTAATTGTCCTTGCTTCAAATCACAATGAAGACAAACAAGTCCTGCACCTTCAGAGCAATAAGCTTTTAGAAACTCTTTGGAAAACTTAAATCCAAGATCACAACAAGGTAATAAAAGAAAAACACACAAGTGCAGGCATTATCACCCAGTCTATCTTTTACCTTAAACATTTAGTCACCTGATCAGATATCAGCTGTCCTTGACCTATATTTGGCTATAAAGAGAATCACTTAAAGATATCATCATACATTGATGCAGGATCATAAACACACACATCTCTCATCAACAATGGGCACAAAGATAACTGTCTTACTATTGCTAGCTTTAACAATGACAACAGATGGACATTCAGGAAGGAAGACTGAGACTCGCTACGACCCAACATGGGAGTCCCTAGATTCCAGGCCATTACCAACATGGTACGATGAAGCCAAAATTGGAGTCTTTGTGTCATGGGGAGTCTTTTCAGTTCCAAGTTTTGGAAATGAGTGGTTTTGGCAACGATGGCAAGGGGACAAAAATCCAGCATATGTGCAGTACATGAAGGACAACTATAAACCTGACTTCACCTATGCTGACTTCGCAAGTGACTTCACGGAGTTCTACGATGCTGAAGCTTGGGCTGAATTGTTTGCTGCTTCTGGGGCTAAGTATGTTGACATTTATTTACTGAGCGAGTGAGTGAGGGGGTGAATGAGTGAAAGGGTAGGTGAATGGGTGAATGAGTGAGTGAGGGAGAAACTTAGTGGGTGAAAGAGTGAAAAAAATGAAAGGGTAAGTGAAAAAGTGAGTGAAGAGTGAAAGAACGAAAGAGTGAGTGAGTGGTGCCACTTGTTCTAACAATCCTAGGGAAAATATACATTCAGCTGTGGTGATAACAAACCTAAAGGGACCACAAATGTTAAAGTTCTGTCGGAAATATGAAAAACTGTTTTTAGGCTGTTACTCTGTATCCCTAAAATTTACACAACTTCAAGTAGCATATGTTGAAATGACCCACATCGGCCTAACTGGGTGTTCAGTGGGATGTGTAATAGGATATCTAGAAATGCATGTCTAATTGTAAAATTGGGCAAAACTTAGAAAAAATACAAATAGCTGCTGAAAACAATAGATCAGACTATAGATGGCAATTAGGTCGCTCAGCCAGGTATGACGACGGACCGTTGACTCACCTGGCATGAAATGCATGTGCTGCCTACAGGCACAAAGGGTCATCTCAAAGATATTTTATGCTTTTTTCATGTGTATTGAATATGTCTCATCTATTGATTATCATCTTATGTGTCTTTCATAACGCTTATGTTGAGATATGTAAAACAATATGATCCTCACAGAAAAGCTAAAATCAACTATCGCATTAAATGTCTCAAAATATATAGGTGGCAAGACCACCCCAAGATCGACAGGACTGGATATTATTTGTTATTGTTAAGACATGCCCTTTACTTCCACCAGTTTAATTTCTCAAAAGGATTATCTTATCTTAGCTGATATCTCAATTCCCCAGTACGACCCAAACCACCATCTGTGACACTTGTCCTGGTTTTGCTTTTGAGACGACCCCTCCTACCTGTTTCTTTTTACAGTGATAGCGAGGCTCCATGGTAGCTACATCCTTAATAGTTTCAGTATTAAAGTCAGCTATCGTTTATAATGAAGCTAAGTCTAGTTTCAAAATAGGCATTTAAAAAGTGTCCTTTGAAATACAGTACCATCACACATTAATTTGCATAAAGCCATGGTCTGTCCTAAATAAATCGCTTTGGACTTAGAAAAAACCCGCATTGCTCATTTCTGCACTAATCTCTCCTCAGTAAAGTCCTTTTTTTTACGTTTCCTATCTCCCTACCACTGAGACTGTAGTTAGGCCGAACTTAGTTTAACAGATATTTCACACGTTCACATATTAACTTCATAAACTGTAGACATAAATGTGAAAAAACAGTTTTTTTGTATTTCCGACAGTATTTTAGTTATTATCACCATGGTTCATCTACCCATTTCAGTTGATATACACAGCAAGTGGCTGTCACCTCAGTTCATGTTGTTTTCAGATACACAGTCTTTATAACTAAACATCATGGAGGGTTTTGTAACTGGCCGACTAATGTCAGTTTTAACTGGAACTCAATGATGGTTGGTCCCAAGAGAGATATTGTTGGTAATTATATGTTAAGACTTATTTTATTCTCAAGACAATATTTGTTCATTGTTCACAATTTATTAATTGCAGTTTCTAAAAAACATTCAAACCACATTTTCCAATGCAAGTCATAAGTTCTCCCCTAATTTTCTAAAATACAATTTCTCAGTTTTGTATGAAGAAACTTTCCCTGCTCCTGCAATTTCTGGAAAACAGAATAAAAACAGTTCAATCAATTTGGAAAGAAACCTGGGGACTTCTAGCTTCATGTTTTTGTAATTTCTCTCATTTCAACATTGTATGAGGTGCAATGTTATCAACAGGTGAGATGGCGCAAGCACTGAGGTCAAAGACAGATATTCACCTTGGCCTCTACCACTCTATGTTTGAGTGGTTCCACCCTCTGTATGTACAGGACAAGGCCAACAACTTCACCACCACCAAGTTTGCTGAGGTCAGCTTAACTAAATACATTTGAGAGGGTGTGTCATTGGAGTGTGTTTTTGATAAGCAACATGGTGTGGGTAAGTATTTGCAGGCATGAGGATACCTAAAGTAGGTTTCACATATCAAATCAACACTTCTGCATGCAAACAGTTAACACCTTGCTGCCAAAATAGTTAAATTTGGGTTGGTAAGCCAATACTGAGAGATTCAATTAATTTGTAGGTGAGCTGGTGTTTGACGCTAAATGGGTTTGTCTGTTTTGTTTTGGTTGTTTTTGGTTTTTTGCTTAGCACCGCACTCAGCAGTATTCCATCTATCTGCATGGTCATAAATAATCGAGTCTGGACCAGTGATTGACATCATGAGCAACGAAGTCAGTGAGTCTCATCATCCAATCCAATTAGTCGCTTCTTGCTGTAAACTAATTGAATCCCAGATCCTCATGGTTGTGGGTTGGTCTGTGTGTGATTTTGGCTGATGATTCTCACAGGTTGGTGAGAAATTGGTGAGTAGGTTGGTGAGAGCTGAGTGAGACGGTGCATTTGTACGTTAGCTCACTTAATCAGTGTTGGGTAAAACATGTAAACTTCGTTTCAGTTATAATCCAACAGGGGTGGTGGGGTAGCAAAGTGGTTAAAGTGTTCACTTGTCATGTTGAAGGCCTGGGTTTGATTCCCCACATGGGTAAAATGAGTGAACTTCATTTCAGTTGTAATCCACCATGATATTGCCAGTGGTAACAATCCAAATTGGCTCCTTGAGGTAATGTAAAGTTTGCCTCCCTAAAGGCTGTAGTACATACCAGATATCTTTCTGTTATCATGTTACGGATTAGTCGCAATGGCATTCTGAGCATTCTAATCCTTCGAGGAAACACAACAAAATCTACAAATCATATGATCATGTAAAGCTAATCTGGGGTAATTCAACCTATTGTCAAGGTGAGCCACAACACTGTGATATCATGAAACATAAAAATCAAATATATTTCAGCAAAAGACTATTCCTGAGCTGTATGAACTTGTGAACACCTACAAGCCCGACCTATTGTGGTCTGATGGAGACTGGGAGGCCCCAGACACTTACTGGGGTTCCAAGGAGTTCCTAGCCTGGCTGTACAATGACAGGTATGAATGTACAATAAGGTCAGACCAATTTCATTTCTTGTTTTACAGATCCGCCGGTCATATTTTTTCAAGAATAAGAACAAAAATTAAAATTTACTTTCTCCCGCTCAAAAAATAATATCCTAATGTTTTTAGTGGCCGAAGTTTAGACCAGGGAAGAAATGGCCTGCTACACTGGTACAGATCATAGTCTAAAGTCTTATCACAAATGACTGGATTTCAAGACAGCACTTCCCGTCACAGCAACATGTACTTGTCTTTGTGTCCAATGGCTAAAACATCATTTTCTGAATGTTTGTTTTTCACAGCCCAGTGCAAGGGTATGGCTGTTGTCAATGACAGATGGGGAAAAGAAGACAAATGTCATCACGGGGGCTACCTGACATGCACAGACAGGTACAATCCAGGTAACATGTTCATTGTTGTTAAACATTGAAAACTCAAACTTTGAAAAGAAGCTTAAATTGCAGTCCCAAAATATCACTGTATATACATAATGATGAATACACTTAACAAGATCTGGGAAATATTTTATCGAATCACCTTAATTATAGAAATATTCTCAACACTGATAATCAAATGCAGTTGCAATCAAAGAATGCACAGACAATGAAGTTGTGACAATACATATGATATTTTTACCTGTCAAAGGAGTACTTCAGCCAAGGAAGTGGGAGGGTGGATTGACAATTGACAAGAAATCATGGGGATTCCGTCGAGAGGCTGTCTTGGAAGATTATTTGACCATGGATGAGATTATAACACGGCTTGTTCAAGTTGTCAGGTGTGTACTTACATAATCATACATCAACCAGTCAGTGAGTTTGGGACAGTTTTTCTTATCGTTTCTGGCAGACCTGACAGATGCAACCCTGGACATTTAATTCTGGCAGCTAGGAAGAAAAGGAAACATGTGTCTCAAATAAATATGGACATAACAATTATAAAAAATCTCAAATAATGCTCCAGGCTAATATACTGAGTCAAAAAAGAAACTTCACATTCTTTCTTCAGGGCACTAAAAAAGAACAAGAGATGGTAAGATGGTTAAATTGTTATTATTTCATTGCTGAGATCTGTGTGATGTACTCGATACACTGACAGTGCCATAATCAGTTCCAGTAGGCTACACCACCGTTCCAAAACATGGGTATACAGAATGTCAAGTCACAAGAATAAAATTGAGAAATTTCTCAGTTCAATATCGTGTATGGCTGCCCCACGCATTAACCACTGCCAAACACCGTCTCCTCATCAACTGCCTGATGCTTGTGAACACGTGGTTGGGGATTCTGCACCAGTGCTCTTGCAAGGCAGCGCCAAGTTCCTGCAAATTCTGAGGTTGGTTCCTAAGACCACGAAGCCTTCTCCCAAGTGCATCCCAAACATGCTCTATTAGATTAAGGTCAGGGGACCTCGATGGCCAGTCCATGACGTTGATTCCAGCGTTTTGAAGGAAATTTAGTGTCAACATCGCGGTACGAGGCCGAGCATTATCATGCTGGAACTGTAGACCTGGGCCATGAGCCGCCATGAAAGGAACGAGTTCAGGGGTGAGCACCTGGTCACGGTAAGCAGCAGCTGTGAGGTTTCCACGGATGTCCAGAAGTCGGGAACGGTTGTTCCCACAGAAAGGACCCCACACCATGCAACTTCCGCCCCCGAATCTGTCGACTTCCTGTACACAACATTGGGCATACCGTTCATGACATCGTCTCCTGACTCTATGCCTGCCGTCCGCGAATCTGAGGGTAAACCTGGATTCATCGATAAAGACGACTCGATTCCAGTCTCTCTGGGTCCATAGGAGGTGACGTTGGGCCCACAGCAGATGTTGACGTTGATGAAACGGTGTCAATATTGGCCCACGATATGGACGTCAAGAATGGAGATTGGCAGCCCACAACCAATTTCGAATGGTCTGTGAGGAGAGTCGACCTCTCAACATCTCAGCCCTGGTACATGAAGCCAGCAGAAATCCATCACGGAGGTGACAGAGGACGATTTGACGGTCTTCTGCTCGTGACGTTACACGTGGACGACCCGACCTTGGGCGATCAGAAGTGGTGCCAGTTTGTTGTAGACGACCTCGCAAGTCATACACAGTGCGAAGGCTGCATCCCATTGCTCTTGCGACGTCAATTACTGATCTTCCCGCTTGCAACATGCCAACGGCACGTTCACGTTGCACATTTGACAATCGTGGCATTTCAAGTACCGTTAGAACTGTGGTTTAAAAGTATTATTTTCAATTCTTGAGGCCAATGCAAACACGTGCATATGAAGAAAACTTCGATGCGAAGATCACGTGATCGACTGCACGTGCAAAACCTGATTTGGCACAAACGCCATTTGCACGATGAATGGATGGGTTTGAGTGCGTTTTGCTAATGTTTTTCTAGAGTCGAAAGATAGGGATCCAATTTCGGATACATAGATGTATCATCAGAGAAAAATTATTCATTATTTTTAAAATTACATTTTGTGAAGTTTCTTTTTTGACTCAGTATATTTTCAAGGTTGACATTTATCATTTCAGCTGTGGAGGGAACCTGGTTATCAATGTCAGTCCAACCAAATATGGCATGATTAGCCCCATCTATGAGGAGAGACTGCGACAGATGGGAGACTGGCTGAAGGTGAATGGAGAGGCCATCTACTCCTCCAAACCTTGGGTGGCACAGAATGACACAGTCACACCAGGAGTGTGGTAGGTACTTTATATATTACACACCTTGGGTGGCACAGAATGACACAGTCACACCAGGAGTTTGGTTGGTACTTCATATATCCCAAACCTTGGGTGGCACACAATGACACAGTCACACCAGGAGTTTGGTAGGTACTTTATATATTCCACACTTTTGGTGGCCCAGAATGACAGTCACACCAGGAGTTTGGTGGGTACTTTATATATTCCAAACCTTGACTGGCACAGAATGACACAGTCACACCAGGAGTTCGGTAGGTTCTTTATATATTCCACACCTTGACTGGCTCAGAATGACACAGTCACACCAGGAGTTTGGTGGGTACTTTATGTATTCCACACCTTCACTGGCACACAATGACACAGTCATACAAGGAGTTCGGTAGGTACTTTATATATTCCACACCTTCACTGGCACAGAATGGCACAGTCACACCAGGAGTTTGGTAGGTTCTTTATATATTCCACACCTTGACTGGCTCAGAATGACACAGTCACACCAGGAGTTTGGTAGGTACTTTATATATCCCACACCTTGACTGGCACAGAATGACACAGTCAGACCAGGAGTTTGGTAGGTTCTTTATATATTCCACACCTTGACTGGCTCAGAATGACACAGTCACACCAGGAGTTTGGTAGGTTCTCTATATATTCCACACCTTGACTGGCTCAGAATGACACAGTCACACCAGGAGTTGGGTTGGTACTTCATATATTCCACACCTTAAAGTTATTTTTTGCTTTCGTTGCACAGAATGACAGAACCATACTCAGAGTTACTTAATGCCATGAAGTCAAAATATTTCTCTTTCAACAAATGAGTAATCTTAATAAGTGCTTTATAATAATCCTGAAGATTTAAAATTAAAGAAATATTAAAGATCTCATTAATTGCAAACACAACAATGAAGAAATGGTAACTGCCTAGTAACATTACTTTTGTTTGCTCTCGGCCACAAGGTCTCTGAGATCAAAAGTAACTTATGTGGAGTACACAAGTGCTCCGACATTTTTCCATTTACAGACATACGTCAGATTCAGCAGTCTTGTAAACTACACTGTGTGATCTCTCTTCAGGTACACACAGAAAGGGGGGACGGTGTACGCCATTGTGCTCAACTGGCCACAACCAGGTCAACTCATCCTTGGATCAGCTTTGCCAAAAACTGGAATGAAAGTCAGCCTTCTTGGCTACACTGAAGGCTCCTTCTCCTGGCAGAATGCTTCACCCAAAGGAATCAGCATTACAATCCCTCCCATCCCTGTCAACCAGATGCCATGTCAGTGGGCATGGGTCTTCGCAATGACATAAACGGTTAAGATCAGAAAAATATGGTTGACAATGGGATGGTTGACAAATGGTTGACAAATGAGGTGGGCCTTCACAATGATATACATGTTGACAATTGAATAGTGGACCTTTTCAATAACATAATTTGTTGACAATGACATGTCCAGTTAATGGGATGAATCTTCAAAATGAAATGGCTGATAATGGGATGTACCAAATGGACATGTTTAAATTTGCTATTTAACTTAAATTCATGAGCTTCAAATGTTGTTGTTTTCATAATAAAGTTAATGCTGCTTGTACTGCATATATGAACATTATAACCAATATTTTCTTGCTTGTTTTTTTGTCCAACTTAATACATCTCTTAAATCTTAAGAAACATGACATGACAACACAGGGTGTATGTATGTATGTATATTAGGTTTTAGGGCGACCTTGGGCCTTAAAAGGCCTATATGCGCCCAACACTTAACAAACTGTTATATTTTTGTTCAGTTAAATAACATCGTACTTACCCGTTTTAACGAGGAAGGCTAAAACAGCTCTTTGTATGCAACCATACATTAAATTATCGCCAAGTATTGCGTTCATTGAAAAAGTATTTTGGGGTTTGTTAAGCACAGTTTCTTTAAGAGCCTTACGTGGGTTTTCATGAGCTGGACATTCAATGAGGAAGTGCTGAACTGTTTCTGGGCAGTGTAAGTTACAGCTTTCACACAGAGGAGATAAGTCTTTATCTAAAATACTTCTATATGCCTTTAATCCACAATGTCCCAGCCTGAGAGCGAGTTAAAACAACTTCATCTCTGCGACACCACCGAATAACTTAATTTTAAAATGTTTGTTTACTACAGGATAAGTAGAGTACATGTGTCTACCTGTAGTTTCATTATCCCATTTATTTTGCCAAGATGCATTTATTGAAGATGAAATGACAAACCAGTAATCTCTTGGAATGGGCTTAATTGAATGAATATCTGGCTGTGGTCTGTTGCAAGCTATCTTAGCAATTGTGTCAACTACTTCGTTTCCAGCTACACCAACATGTGCAGGAATCCAAACAATATCACAGCTGATGTACATGGAGTTTAAAACAGTATCAAGATACAAGATGTCGTATAGTATGTCACTGCGTGGACCTTGTACACCTGATTGAATTGCTTGTACAGCTGACAACAAATCAGTAAAAATTATTGCTTCGTGTTCATTATCTTTTACCCATTTTAAAGCTTGAAGTATGGATGTCAGTTCTGCTGCAAATACTGACAGATGATCAGTCAATCTAAATCTTTTGGATAAACCAATATCGGGAATATAGAAAGCTCCACCAACATGACCGGTTCTGGGATCCTTTGAAGCATCAGTGTAAATAGGAGTAAAATTGCTATATTTGGTGTGAATGTAATCTTGGGTGAAGATTTTAATAACACTTGGTGACATTTGTTTGTTTACAAGCTCCGATAAATCCTGTGAAATCGAAGGTTGTGTTAAAGTCCATGGAACCGTTTTCGGGAGAGATCGAGCAGCATTCAACTGATGATTGTTTAACTTGTACTGTAATGCAATTTGTTGTACAAGTAATCCAAACGGTGGTTTTCCATGATTCCAATCACACATGACATATTCCACGCAATCACACAATATATCAGTTGCTGGTTGATACCTAGAGGAAGCTTTCAAGGATAAATAGTACTTAAGGGCAACTTTAAGACGATGATATTGCAAAGGAGGTTCTGAGCATTCCACCTGCAGGGCAGAAACTGGAGTAGTAGGAAAAGCACCAGTGCATATCCGAAGAGCTTTGGCTTGAATACGATCAAGTTTAGCCAAATGACATTTTGCAGCATTCATAAAAACTTGACAGCCATATTCTAATCTAGACAAAATTAGTGCTTTGTACAACAGAAGCAAGGATGATTTATCAGCACCCCACTTTGTGGCGAGACACGCTTTTCAGTAAATTGAGAGCTTTAGTACATTTTGATGAAATGTAGTTGATGTGGTTTGACCAAGTGAGTTTTTGATCAAAGATTACACCCAAAAATTTAAATTCAGAAACAAATTTTATGTCCTGACCACCAATGTAGCTTCAGATTTGGAGGAACTTTTTTACGTCTTGTGAAGAACATAGCAACTGATTTAGAAGATGAAACCTTGAACCCCCACTTTGAACACCAAACATCTATAGAATTTAGAGCTAATTGGATAGATTTATGAACAAACTCAATGTTTCCAAAGCGCCTCCAACAAGCACCCGTCATCTGCAAATTGTGATGCATCAATGTTTTAAAGGAAGTTCAGAAAAGAAATCATTGATCATTATATTAAAGAGCAAAGGGCTTATAACACTGCCCTGTGGAGTGCCATTTACAATAATTAGCATGTCAGACACGTTTTGCCCAATCTGAACTTGTATGGTTCGATCAGTTAGGAAGGACTTTATCCACTGTAGCATGCACGTCCTTTACCCCAAAGCGTTGCAGTTTAAATAAAAGTCCATTTCTCCATAGCATATCATATGCCTTTTCAATGTCTAAAATACACACAGCATATACTCTTGGTTTCCTAGTGCTTTTGTGCTTCATTTTGTAGTCGAACTAGGTGATCTATGCAAGAACGAGTTTTTCCTAAACCCACACTGTAGCCTCGTTAATAATTCATTTGATTCTAAGTAGAAACTCAAACGATTTGTGACCAACCTTTCCATGATTTTACACAGGTTAGACGTTAAGCTATTGGTCTGTATGAAACAGGGTGAGATGGATCTTTACCAGGTTTGGGAACAGGGATAACAACAGCGTGTCTCCAGCTTTTGGGTAACTTCCCAGATATCCAGCTTTGATTTATGATATTAAGTATGACTTCTAGAGCTGAATCTGGCATATGTTTAAAGTGTTTGTAACACAATTCATCGGCACCAGGAGATGTATTCTTGCCCTTTGATATTGCCGATTTTAATTCTCCCAGGTGGAAGGATAAATCATATTCAGGAAAAGGTTGTAATAAAGAATCTGAAATTATTGGAATAATCTCATTCTCCAAATTTGTGATTTCGCTTTTTAAATTTTGTTGAAAAGTTTTCATAGCTGCTAACAGCCTCAAACTGATCTGCTAAAAGATTTGCTTTCTCTTCACGGAAATAGCTTTGATCCAAAACAGGAATAGGGGATCTATTACGGTTCCCACTAATCCTTTTACCTTGACCCAAATTGAAGATAAGGAAGTATGCCTGTTTATTGAAGATATGTAAGAACGCCAACTGCTGCGTTTTAATGATCGTACAAGACGTTGGAATTCAGCCCGTTTTTTCCGAAAGTCGTCTAAATCAACCGGTAAGGATGTCCTGCGAAGTCGGTTATAAGCCTTTTGCCGAGCTTTATCGGCTTTGTCACAATCCTTATTCCACCAATACTGAAAATTTCGAGTAGTGGGCTTTCCGGAAGTTTTACCAATAGCTTTTTCTGAGATTTTAGTCAGAGATAAAGTTAGATTACAAGTTGAACTTTCAATGTCATCTGTAAGCAGATCACAGGAACACGTCACAATTTAATTCTGGACTCACAAAAGTCCAGAAACTCTCTGCACTGTGGGCACTTTCTGACAAGGGATTTGACCAAATTAAACATGCAGTGGTTATGAATATATGCCAAGGATGAAAAAATGAAAAAAAATTCTTTCGAAAACTTTAAATTTAAACTCGCTCGCCCATGGGCAGGCCCATGGGCGAACAGTGGCCCATGGGCGAGAATGTTTAATTTCGATCAGAATTCATGTTTTGGAGGTTGTAAATGAATGAGTGTATGTTTGTAAGCATCATCAAACAAATTTCAACTCATTTTGACTTAATTCGACTAATTTAGAGCGATATTAAAAAAATCTCAAGCCCATGGCGAAAAATAATATTGGCCCGCATGAGAATATTGACTTTTACTCAAAATATATGTTTTTCCATGTTTTGGAGGTTGTAAATGAATGATTGTATGTTTATAAGTACCATGAAACAAAATTCAACTCATATTGACTTAATTCGACTAACTTAAAACGATATTAAAAATCTAAGCCCATGGGCTGAAAAATAGGTTGGCCCATGGGCTTAGAATATTTACTTTTACTCAAAATATATGTTTTCCCATGTTTTTGAGGTTGTAAATGAATGAGTGTATGTTTATAAGTATCATGACACAAATTTCAACTCATTTTAACTTAATTTGACTAACTTAGAGCGATATTAAAAATCTAAAGCCATGGGCAAAACACATTTTGGCCCATGAGAATATTAACTTTTAACCAAATACATGATTTTCCATGTTTTGGAGGTTGTAAATGAATGAGTGTATGTTTATAAGTACCTTGAAACAAAAATTCAACTCATATTGACTTAATTCGACTAACTTAATTAGATGGATGCTAAAAATCTCGCCCATGTATGAACACATTTTGGCCCATGGGCGAGAATATTGACTTTTACTCAAATACATGATTTTCCATGTTTTGAGGTTGTAAATGAATGAGTGTATGTTTATAAGTACCATGAAACAAAATTCAACTCACATTGACTTAATTCGACTAACATAGAGCGATATTACAAAATCTAGCCCATGGGCGAAAAATAGGTTGGCCCATGGGCTGCAGAATATTGACTTTACTCAAAATACATGATTTTCCATGTTTTGGAGGTTGTAAATGAATGAGTGTATGTTTATAAGTATCATGAAACAAAATTCAACTCACATTGACTTAATTCGACTAACTTAGAACGATATTAAAAATCTCGCCCATGGCTTAAACACATTTTGGCCCATGGGAGAGAATATTGACTTTTACTCAAAATACGTGATTTTCCATGTTTTGGAGGTTGTAAATGAATGAGTGTATGTTTATAAGTACCTTGAAACAAATTTCAACTCATTTTGACTCCATTTGACTAACTTAGAGCGATGTTAAAAAATCTCGCCCATGGGCGAAACACATTTTGGCCCATGGGCGAGAATATTGGCTTTTACTAAAATACATGATTTTCCATGTTTTGGAGGTTGTAAATGAATGAGTGTATGTTTATAAGTACCATGAAACAAAATTCAACTCATATTGACTTAATTCGACTAACTTAGATGGAAGTATAAAATCTAAGCCCATGGGCTTAAAAAATAGGTTGGCCCATTGGCGAGAATATTTACTTTTATTCAAAGTATATGTTTTCCATGTTTTGGAGGTTGTAAATGAATGAGTGTATGTTTATAAGTATCATGAAACAAAAGTCAACTCATATTGACTTAATTTGACTAACTTAGAGCGATATTAAAAATCTCTACCATG